AAGCAATGCCATGACCTCCCTCTCGCATTGCTTAGAGTCTGATAAGGGCTAGATGAGGAGCAACGGGCTGAAACTGAACCCTGGAAAGACCAAGTGGCTCTGGGCTTAGTTTTTCTCTCAGGGAGAATTGCCATCTTTGATCTAGGATGGGGTGGCATTGCCTCAAACAAACCCAGTGCATAATCTTTTTCTCCTGGATTCACAACTCCTGCTTGAGGAACAGGTGGCAGTCATGGCCAAGACAGCCTTTGCACAGTTGCAGGTTGTGTACCAGTTACTGTGCATCCTTTCCTGGATCAACAATCCCTACTCGTGGTCACATTCTTGTTACCACCCATCTTTGATTATTGCAACACAGTCTACATGAAATTACCCTTGGAAAAAATATGGAAGCTCCAGCTGCTTTAAAATGCAGCAACCCTCACGATCATGGGCAGACCCAGGTGTGCACATGTGTCACCTCTCCTGCAGGAGCTGCATTGGCTGCCAATTTGCTTCTAGGTGCAATTCAAGGTGCTGGTATCACCTTTAAAGCCCTTCATGGCTTGGACTGTCTGAGTTATCTGAGGGACCATCTCTTGCTGGTTATATCCACCCAACCCACTAAAGCAGGAAGGTAAGGAATATTGCGGGTCACATCACCTATGGAGGTACATCAGGTAGGGCCAAAAACAGTCTTCTCCATGGTGGCTCTCTCCCATTGGAATACCATCCCTGAAGAAATTAAGTAAAATCAAGTGGCACAATTTCCTTTGAGCACTCAAGATCTACCTTCTTTCTATGCAAGACTTCATTTATTGTCAAATGTCTATTTCCAGAAAAATAACTCATTTTGTGCAAAGGTTTGGAAAAAGCGGTAGGTTATTCTGCATAGCATCATAGTGAAAACAAATTTGCTGGGCTCCCATTGGGTTCAGGATTTAAACATTAACACAGAACAGAAATAGTATTGAGTACTTTGTGCAATGATCCCTAGATTGTGCCCTTCATGGTCCTGGACCTCTCAACAACTTTTGATTTCCTGCTGACTGTCTGGAAAAGTTGGGCTATTTAACATCTATTTGATGCTGTTGGGGAGTAAAATATGCTGATGACACCCAGAACATTTCATCATTCTATTTAAACAAGAAAGGCTATGTTCCTGGTGCTCATAAAGACTGGAATGGGTCAAAATAAATTCCAAGTAAAATCTCTGCAGGAAGTGTTTGTGTTAGCTGACAACAGATCTGCTTGAATCAAGCTCCAGCTTTGCCTTTGGTTCTGGATGGAACAACATTTGAAGCGGATCTACAATTTGATGTCTTCCTAGATTTGGCCTCTTCTAGAACATGGTAGTCATAAATCAAGGGGTCTTTCCCCATCTCTGGCTGCTACACCAATTATGCGCCTTTTTGGATTGAAATTAAGGAGAAGAAAAGTCAATCACTAATTCACTAGCTCTGCCCAGGCAATAATCCAGCAGATTGACTTGCTAGATATACTGTAAATATAGACTGTACTTTGGCATTAATATTAGATCTTTGAGAAAAATCTCTTAAGACACATACTCAATTGTATAGTCACTCCCTCCATTGCACCATGAACGAAAAGGGGGAAATGGAATTCTGAGTGCCTCAGCTGTATGAATTTAGGTTCCTTTCATTGGAATCTTTAACAATGTAAAAAGAGGCACATTTTCTCAGGCAGGTTTAGCTATTTCCTTGCCCAATAAGGAAGAGGAAGAGGAAGAGGAATTGTTCTGGTATAGATTTATGAAGAACAACCAGACTTGACTCAGCTGCTACCTCCTCATTCTTTATTCTTTTTAGGTTGGTGGATATTGAGTACACTTCTTACTTCCGAGACCATTTCATATTGAGAGCATCAGTTCATGTCAAATCCCATTTGTCAAAATTGTGTGCCTAATAACAATGTAATCAAATAATCTAATAATCAAATATTATTAGGTCTCAAAAGACCAAACGTCATGTTAAAATTTATGGCACAGGCACAGTTAAACCAATGATTCCCAGTCTTTCCATTCAGGCAGGCCACAGCATCATTAAAAATTTTGGAGGCTCACCACAGATGCCACAATTGGTATCACAATGACTATGGGTGATATTTTTGAAAAAAAGAAGTGAGATGATATCAGCCAGTTCCTTTAGAACTCTGGGATGTAATCCGTCAAGTCCTGGTGATTTTGTATTCATCAAGATCAGACAGGTGTCCTTTTACTGGGTTTTTTTTTTTTTTGCTTATTTTAACTTTTATTTCTAGTCTGTTTTTTACAGTTATGTTTCTGGTAGGTTGGGCTATAGATTTTTTTTTTTTTTGCATGAAGACTGGTGCAAAGAATGAGTTAAGCAGCTCCGCTTTCTCTCTGTTGCCTGTAACTTCCTTGCTGTCTTCTCTCTTTAGTCACCGAAGCAGTAGGTATGAGCTTAAATGGACTCCAGAGGATGGTAGAGGACAGGAAGGCCTGGAGGAACGTCCATGGGGTCATGATGGGTTGGAAATGTCTTCTCAACTAACAAAGCATATATATCATAAGTAAAATAAACAATGTCACTATAAACAATTATGCTTCCCATCCTCTACTTCCCATTTTCAACTGCTGATAATGCTTAAAAATTCACCCAGGAAAGTGAAATGTATATTACCCTATGGTTTTTGTGTCCTTTGTTCCCCATCTTAGCTTTTACTCCCACCAGCAGAGTTTGCCATAAATCCTCTAGTGAGCCCAGAGCAGGCTATATTATCATAGCTCAATCTTCCCGCAAACTTCACATTTCATCTTATAAGGTAGGGTTTGACCAATGCTCATTACCCGTGAAAGCTAAAAGAGATACAATTCAATTGTCATGGGGTGCTAGTTGGAGACATCTCAGTCAACAGGAAGTAGTTATCCTTGGTCATCATAAAGTTAGCTCAACAGAATAACAGACAACAACATAGGAAAGATCCTTGGAGATCTTTTAGTCCAACCCCAAGCTCAAGCAGAAGACCCTATCATTTCAGAAACAATAGCTATTACTTCCTGCCACTGGAAAAAAGTGATGGCTTAGCTGGGATTAATACTATCATAGATAGTATTGGAGAAAGCTTAGCCACAACCAACCCTTGTTACATCTGGCTTTGCTGTGGTTCATGTAAAGCTTTTGTACAGGCCATGCTCCTCATGTTTTACCCAACCCATAAAACTGAAGGGAGGAAACTATAAAACAAAGCTCATAGAATTTATCTCTGCTGGAAGCATGAAATTCTTTTTTCCTATTTGGATGATATGGCCAATTTTAGAGATTTGATCACAATGCATGACAGAGCAGCTGTTTACAAAGTAGAGATCTCTACCATTTCAGTGATAAATTCCTGCATACTATCTAACTGTTCCATTTGGGCTATTTTCACCTTTCTTCCCTGGATGCAATTCATCCAATTATAGATAGTTACAAGTCTTGATGGCTTTTCCACATGGGTCAACTTCAAAGTTGCTACTCCTCATTTCTCCTCAGTGCCAAAAGTCTGGTTTCGCACAGAGGTTCTGTACAGACCTTGCTTACATCCCTGGAACTGAAGTTCCTATGTCTGTTATAATCAAAACTTTCCACTCAATTTCCACCTTTTCTTCTGTGCACTGGGGGCCCTTGGCTCCTTTTCTCTAGCTGGGCATATATATGTGAGACGGGTGGCATTTAATTTCAAGTAAACATTCACCTAGAGATGCTTTCCCCCCCTCTATTTTGCTTCTAGTATTGGCTACCAAAATATTCCTGTATAAGTGTATCAGCAAACAAGCCACCATGTGGTATACACTCTGCTGCAAATTAACCTCAAGTCATTTTAATAATGTAATAATTCCTAGGAATTCCTCAGATTCCCAGGAAGAAGTAGAGGGCAGATTCATCCATATTCATTGAAAGATGATGTAAGAATACCTGAAGATATACGGTTGATGGATGACTTTGGGTGGGGGAATCACTATTCTGCATTATTTGGGGACCTTACTTCATGCAGTATTCTCCACTTTTGGAATTGGCTGTTTGTTGCTAACTAAGCAGGCTTTAATGAATATGTTCTGAATTGTAGTCTTAATGTAGGCCATGTGCCACTGACTTGCCCAGACAGCAATGAAATATTAACCATGGGGTGGGGGGGAGAGATAGCCATAAAAAAATTGATAGTGATGTATGTATTTATATATTGCATTTGTACATCATATTCAAAATGCTCAGTGGTTTACGATCTACTTAGCTGCTTTCCACCCTTCAGTATTTCTCTTTCCTAGGAAGTTGAAAAAGGAGGGAAAAAATGAAGTATGGAACTCCTTTTTTTGTAGTCATGTTTTCTATCTCACGAGGGTCACTGAAGCAGCACGACTTGATTTTACCACAGCATAAAAAAAAGATTTTTCATATACAAAATATTGTTTTAGATGTGCATTTCTAAATTTCTCTTCTGATCTAGAGCTGAAGCTGCAAATGCTAGCTCTGGCCTCAGACTCCACACTGCCAAATTCTCACATGCATTGCAGCCATGTCCAGTCATAGGATACATCACATGCATCAGAGCCTAACGTAGGTTTAACTTCAGCAACCAGGATTGCCCCAATAAACCTCCAACTATAGTCAGTTGTGTGAACCACCATGAGCTTTCAGATCTCTTGAACTTAGGGTGGTTAGGTCAGGACAGGTAGACACAATTTGCACAGATAAACACATGCCCACTTCCTCGGCTGCATATTGTCTCTAGGTGAGTGCCTGAAAAGGAGGTGCCATTCCCAAATTATCTCTTCTGATTGCAAATACAAGCCAGTACTATTAGAACATGATTGAATCAGTCTTTAAAAGAGTATTTTAAATGGGGCCTCCTTGAGCTGTACCCTCCTCTCTCCTCCCTTCTACTGAATGTTCATGACACATTCTTGCGTGTTCTTTTTTTGGAGCTAGAAATTTCCTAACTTGTGGTCTTTTTCAGAAAACGAGAAGTATCTTCCTCCAACAAACAAGCAGGCACAAAGAATACACAACTGAAGGATTAGCAGCCTTTGTTGCCTCATCCTTTGTTTTCCACTTAGAAAGATTCCCTGAGCCAAGGCACTGGCGCTGTTCTCCTAGCACATCACACCTGACTTGTGCTGGGTGGGACACCTTCACTCCAGGGCAAATGGGCCCTCTTTTGGTTCTGATAGCGGCAGCTATCTGGCAAGGTAGGTCTTCTTGTTCATTCCATTCACACATATGTAAGCTGTAGCAACTGAGAAGAACAGCAACTTTTTCCAGCTGTAACCAACCCACCAACCTATAATGGATTACAACTCTCTTCAGCCCCCTTCAGCCTTAACGCCATTTGCTATGTTGGTTTGTTGTGATGAAAGTTGCAATCTAATATCTCTAGAGGGTTCTAAATGAGGAAAACTGAGTTAGAAACATAATAGTTCTTTAGTGTTTTTACATGCACGGCAATAGGATAAAGACTAAAAATGTGTTTTTAAATTTTCTGTTGAAGGAAACTATATAGTTAGCCAAATCTTTTATTGCTTTTATTGGTATGGTTGCCAGTTGGATATGTCCAATATCGCATTAATGCCTTCAGTTTTACTTTTAAAACTTTGACCATTTTCTTCATTCTTTTTTGAATAAATTGATTAATGTGTTGAATATTCAAGCACAATGTTCATTTTATGTATATACAATGCCTGTTTTGGAAAAAAATAAGTTTTAGAATTGGGTGTTTGTTTGTTTTTGTTTTGTAATCTCAAGTATTAATTTTTTTGACTAGAATACTAACAAATTAAGCATAGAAGCTGAAACAGTCAGTTCAATTAGGACAAATGACTATTTTCTGTTCAGAAAATCAGTAATGTGTTATTCCATTTGGAAGTGAGGAAGGTTTTTCTTCACCAAGAAGTATTTTATTTTAATTTAAATTTTTGGTTCATATTTGATTTTTAAGTGTACTTCATCAGTACACTTAAGATGTATAGCATCTTCAGCATCTAAATGAAGATTTGATCAAAATATTTTAAAGGAAGGATAAATTTTGGAAATATTTTACATGACTAAAGCATGTCTGTAATCTTTTCTCAAGCTTTAACCATGGATGGTTTCTCTCTTCACCATGAATGGTACAACTAACCTGTACTTTGATTGTCAGTCTGCTTTTTCTGGTAGAAATTTTAACTAAAGGGAAAGGGGAGAGTGAATTTTCATCAAGTAATTTCTTCCTAGTAAATTGGTAGCATCAAACATTTACAGCCACAAACTGGAAAAGTTCACACTGTACAAAAAGTTGACTGTACTTCTTTTAGTTTCCAAAAGTCAAGAAGAAGAAGAAGTAGTAATAGTAGTAGTTGTTTCATGCTCATGCCTTGGTGGAAGAAAAAGACGATATGCTTCAAACTGAAGGTCATTATTATGCAACACAGTGATGTGGCAAAGCCAGTGGCCAATTGTTACTGAAAATATGAAGGAAATAGGCCACTTCTTGGAAATGTTCTGAAACTCCATGCAAAAATCTAGTTTAAGTCAGCATTAGAATTGGCAAGAGAGATTTTTCTTTTATACTTTGAAGAAACTGAAAAGCTGGTTTTATAGCAATAGGGTTATATCAATGGTAACAACCATCACTAAAAACTAGTAGTATAATTGAATGTAATAAGAGTAATTAGATTTAGATAATAGAGATGAGTGTTGCACATTTGATTCCGCTATGCTGCCACCGATTTTTGCAATCTTCATGCATTAGTATCAAGTACTAGGTTATATTTAAAATCTGCCAGGTCTAGTGCCCTTTGACCCATTTCTGGCAGTGTTCTTCCACTCCAAACCTCACTTTGATAAGGGCAGAAACTGTCCCAACACTACTTCTATCACTTTTCTTTGCTCCCTTCCATCCAACCTCAACCATTTCCTGCTTTATGTCCTCCAGTCTTGCCCACAATTCATGAATCCCTCATTATATTGTAGCTCCTAACTGTATGTGTAGCTTCTAACCTATTGTCTATAGGTTTAGGGAATGATACCATGCCTAGAGGAGATAGAATTATGTCCTGAATATGGGTGTAGTCCATTACTTCTCTTGGTGGAAGACTACTACAAGCTCTCAAAATCTTTCCAGTTAAACATGGAGTATTCTGGTCAGCCATTCACCCTCAGGGAATTTACAAGAGATAGCAACACTTTCAAACATGATAAAATAGGCTTCTCTGTCTTTATCAACTTAGTTTTTTTTATTTGTATCCTGCCCTATTTTCACAAACAACTCAGGTAGTGAACATATCCAACACACCTTCCCTCCTATTTTCCCCACAACAACTACCCTTTGAGTGAGATGGGCTGAGTGTGACTGGCTCAAGATCACGCAGCCGGCTTTTATAAATGATTTGATGCATTCCTTTAAGTCTACCATCCCCCCTCAATTCATCTCTTATCTCTTGTTCACTCTTTTCTTATTCTAGCATATCTTTACTCCTTGCCTCCCTCCAGAAGCATTCTTTCTCTTTAGTCAAAGCATTTTCTTTTGCTATTGAGCATTCCTTTTAAGTCTATCAGTCCCTTCATCTCTTTCTTGCCTCATTCACTTTTTTCCCATCTTAGCTTATGTTTACTTTCTGCCTCCCTTCAAAGACGCTCTTTTTTTCTCTTTAATTAGTTGAAGCCTTTCTTTTTGAGGCTGCTTTAATATTTCTGCAACGTCCAAGTATCAGAGTCCAGCTCCATTTCGGGCTGGTCTATCTTCTTTGGTTTAACTATAGGCAGAGAGTGGATACCTTAGGTAGTAGTTTTTCTAAGGGAGAATCTATCCCTTCTCTTTTCCATGTCTGTTTGTGTGGTGCAGGTTTTGGTTAAGAGATCTGGTTTCTACAGCCAGGATTGTTGGTCATTTCCTGCAAAGTCTGACTTCTGTGAGGACCAAACTCTTTTCCTTTTGTATCTAGGGTTTGTTTTCCTTTCATGGAGTGTTTAATGAACTCTTGAGCTTATTATTTGTGTAGTTGCCACCCTACATTGGCTATCCCACTGTTTTACAGATATCCTACCCTGCCTCCCGTCTCTTGTCATGGGTTCTTTTCAGTATATCCATTTCAGTGGGATTCAAACAAGCCAACAACATAAGTGCAACACACACGAGCATTCACAAGCTATTATGTACTACTCACCCCTATTCCATAGGCTATTATGCACTACTACTCCACCCTACTCCATTCTTCCACAATTCTATTCCCACAGTAACTATTATTTCTTCTGAGAACTACTACTCCTATTTCTTCTGAGTACTGCTAGAGAAAATTCTGGTTACTCTCTGGCTACTTTACTTCCACACACAGACAGAAGCTTATTCTCTCTCCCCCACATACTGCACTCTGAGCTGTCTCTCAGCACAGCTTTTATAATCAAGGTTTCCCGCCTGGGTGGGGAGAGGGCTTAAAGAGACAGGCGGACAGCAGCACAGGTGCTGGCCATTTTCTGGACAGTTTGTTTCCTCAGACCTGTAAGGAGAAGATGAAAACTCGAAAATTAATCACCCAATTCCAAGTAAGAAAGAGATGGAACTTCCTTCATGCCTAGCTAGTTTTGTTGTACTGATGAAACATATTCCCTCTGCCATTCAAATTTTCCCCAAATTTTACAGAGGACACACTGCCAGCAAGCAAACTTTAAAAGTCAAAACCAGGTTAACAAATGGGCTTCTTTTTAAAAAAAAAAAGTTTAAATATTTTGTTCCTCTGTTCAGTGCTGTAACCCCAAATTTCAGAGTTTTCACCTTTTAATATCAGAGATAGGAAAGGGGAATCGTGGTTTATTGTGTGCCTTTTTTTTAAACAGACCATGCAAAGACCTTTTTAATGAGAATATCTGAACATGTATTTCAGCGTGAGTGAAAATTATGGAACTAGATATTGGAAAGGCAGCCAAGTTCACACCTCACAGCCTATCTTTCCTTCTTAAGTAGATAAGCTCTACTTAATATCTTTTATGGCTATTACTATTGATAAACCTGTAATGAGAATAGATTTGATGGACATATGAATGGAGAAAGCTGAAGGATGGAAAAGGATATGTTGATCCCATATCAGTGTTACTTGCTGGCGAGAGAAATTCAGAGACAGCATTAAAACTGTCCTGCTCTGAAGTTGGTAGCAACTTCCCACCCACCTACTTTTTTGATATTCTCCTCCTACTCCACCATCATAAGCTGACTCCGCAACATTTTTGAACATGATGAAATGATAGCTGCTTTGTAGCAACCTCCTGTTGCCATTCAGTTGATTTGGGCAGGAGAAAAACACCAGTAGGAAGCTTTCCCTCAAGCCTCAGAGGCAAACATTCCTGCCAGTCTACAACTGCTATTGAATTTGGTAAAATGATTATCACCAAAAATTAATGTGTGCACCTCTATAACCCTAATCTAGTTTACAAAATCTCTGAATTGACATAATTTTAGTTTAGTTTTAGTTTTATTGACATTTATAGGCCGCCCTTTTCCCTGAGGGGACTCAGGGCGGCTTACAATCAATGGGAAGGGAGTGCAGGACAAAACACAAGAAAGAAAACAAAATGTGAATAAAAAAAATAAACCGATAAAACACAACATTCATTCAGCATTCGGGTGGGGCGAGGTTCGGATCTTATCCCCAGGCCTGACGGGATAGCCAGATCTTAAGGGCTGTGCAGAAGGTCTGGACGGTGGTGAGGGTACGAATCTCCTCGGCGAGATCGTTCCAAAGCGTCGATCTTCTCAGCTGCAACTGAGAAGGCTCTCCTCCGTGTAGTCGCCAGTCGACATTGACTGGCGGATGGAATCCGGAGGAGGCCCAGCCTGTGCGATCTAATAGTAATATCTAAGATCTAAGATAATGTAATAGCGGATTAACAGAGTTGGAAGGAATCTTGGAGGTCTTCTATTCCAATCCCCTGCATGAAACCCTATATCATTTCATACAAATGATTGTCCAATCTCTTCTTTAAAACTTCCATTGTTAGAGTACTCGCATCTATTGGGGATAAGTTGTTCCACTGATTAAGTCTTGGGAAATTGCTCCTTAGTTTTAGTTGGTTCTTTCATTGATTAGTTTCCATGTGTTACTTCTGGTCCTGTGCTTTAGAAAACTGAGCCTCCTGTGACAGCCAACCTGATCCTTGGAGAACCAGTTGTTAAATTATACCACCACCCCATTATCAAGTGGATCCAGGGCACAGTGCTGCA